TAGTTGTAGTGTGACTTTTGTTATATAAATGTTTGAATATATATATGTTCTGCATACATGTTAAACAATATCAATTTAATCGTTGTATTGTTAAAATTGTATTATATATTACTTTTATTTATGAACAAATATTTATAATTTTTTACAAGTAAAGTAGTGGCTTCAGGTACAGACAATTACTAATATTTATACATTACACATTATATATATATATATATATATTAATTTAATATATAGATATAATATAAAATATGCATCTATATTTTTCCTTTAATTCTACTTTTCCATTGTATCAAACATCAAAATGATTAATGTTTTTTACTTTCCATTATTTCTAACAAACACAAAAGAAGGAAAAAAATGATTCTTCCATTGAAGGATAGAAAATGTATCACCATCTTCGCTTGAAAGATAGATCTTCCCAATCACGTCTCTTAATTTTTATGCCATTAGCCATCATTTAGAACTTCCATTCAATTATTAAAAATTAGCCATCAATTGCTCATTTGATTTTTGTAAAAAAAAATAATAATAATTTTTTTGATCAATACATTGTTTCTTTTACACACATTTCCATTCCATAATATCAAATGACTATTGATGATACCACAATCAATAAACCATTATCTACTTGTCGCAGCACAACCTCGAACAGCACAACCTTAAAGACTAATGCGGAAACAACCAATAAGCAGCATGACTCATTTGATGGTATAATCGAAGCTCGACATCATCTAATCCAGCTCGTACACAAAGACCGTCCGAGCTGACTTCTTTACTTTTAACAAGCTCTTCCAGAAAAGAGAATCTTTTAGGTCGCCAAACACTATTCAACTAGCTCATTCAATGACATTGAAAGTTCATTCTTTTCAGATGACGTCACTTTGTTAGAAGGATACGTTGAGCATTGTCAAATATATTCTAACCCTCTTATAATTGAGGGGATCACATAATTTGGGATAAAGAAAAAAGTTAACCCTCGTAAAAAATGAAAGAAAGATATCTGAAATCTCATTATAAAAATCTTATTTTCCAAGCAATAAAAACTAGAGAACAAGAGACTCTATTAAAGTGGACTAATCATATTTTTTAACCTAATGAACGACTTAATCATCTGTGTCATTGCATTTCTTTAAGCCATTACTTTGTTGAAGCATCAAGAGCTTTCTAGCTCTACATCCAAAATCAATCACTCATATACGAATATAGTCCTTTCGATTGTCTCCGAACCTCTTTACGATCAGTTCTTACACTCATACCTTTATTTTACATTATCAATTTAGCGCCGCCTGTAGGAAGTGATTTTCATCGTTTTCCTCCAAAATTACCGTCACTTCTTTTGATTGATGACTATAGCTAAAGCCATGAGCCAAAATTAGAGAATCAACAGCAAAAATCCCCTACCACTAACTCTTCCGACATACCCCTCTCCCCTCCCCCACGTATGGAGGGACTAGAGACTTATCAACAAAACATGCTCCATCTCCTCGAAGAAAATAAATGCATCATAGCCCTTTTTGTCGCCCACCAACCAGGAGTCCATCAAGATTCGCCGCTTCCTCCATACTCCCTGAACGGCGTAAGCCATTCTCGTGAAAATATCAAGCGTCATCCACAAAGAGAAGAATTCAAAGATGAGGCATAGAATAGAGCTATGGGAGAAAGGGGAAGGGATCGACAATTCCCCCACAACACGATAACATGGACCAGTTCTGGGAGAAGTGCTTCTTAGAGATCCAAAATGAATTGGAAAACATTAAGGAAATTGTAAAGAACCGAGTTTCAGTCACCATGGAAGCCCTGGTCCAACAAGCTGAATCTCCATTCACACTAGAGGTCTTGCACTTTCCTCTTCCACCTAAATTCAAAATGTCTCAGATGAATTCATTTGATAGTACGAGGAATCCCTTTGACCATCTTAATACTTATAAAAACTAGATGGAGTTACACGGATATTAAGACCCCATTCGATGTCGAACATTCGCCATCACTTTTAAAGATTCGGCATAATCACTAATGACTTTTACTTTCCTATTTATTTGTTCATAATTAGTTAATAACATTAACTGGTGGTAATAATGTGATGTCATCGTTATCCCTATATTAAATATTTATTCCTAGGGACTGTTTGGTACGGAGATATGGGGGAGTTTGGCGAGATGAATTTGAAAAAAATAGTCCAACGGACCACGAATCTCATGTTTGTATGAAAATTTTAGTCTCTAGTTTTCAAATCCAGCTCATAGTTGTTCTGAAGATTAAACCTAGGGAAGGGGTGGGTTTGGGAAGATTGGTAAGTGGTTAAGGATTCAAAAGACAATTGTACCCCTTAATATGGATATGAATTGGATTGATCAATGATAAAATAGTAATTTACAGGATAAATAGTTATTAATAATTATGATATATCCGTAAATCCTACATGTATATGTATTGCATACCAAATATGAGTATGGATATGATTAAATGTTAAATTTCATTTTTGCAAATAATGATTTGGATTTCAAAGGACTTGAAGAAATCAATTCAAACTCTTTTCTAAAATTCATCCAAACAAGTTCCTAAAATGGGGAGGCTTATGTGAGACTTTTGTATAATGGTTTTTGCCCCTCGGAAAGTAGTGCTGGGTTAACTGTGTGATTTAACGACAATACGTAATTAAATGTACTACAACAACTTTGACCATATTTGATCGGATCTTACGTACCATTCTACATTGCGATCCTCTATCTTTTCTGGCTGCAGAAATCGTGTTACGTGGTGTCGTGTTATTTTGAATTCATGTTAAATATTAATTAATTTTAATTTAAATTATTTAATTAATTATATCGTGTCGAATTAATCTAAATATCATATTTGTGTTGGCTCATGTAAATCATAAATAAAAAAATTAATACTCATATTTTAGTCTAAAATTTCATTATCACTTAATTGAATTGATGATCATATTTTCTCTATAAACTAAAAATTAATTTAATAAATATAATAATAAAAATGAGTAAAACTATATTTTTTTGTACAAGAATTATGTCCCTATATACTTGATAAAATATAATAAAAATTTAGTATTTATTCTTATCATACTAGTTAAATGTGCTAATCATGTCAATTTTATGTTCTTTGTGTTTGACACTAACCTGACTCATTTATTATTCGTGTTAATGAGTTGTGTTTATGAGTTCGTATCGAGAAATGACCTACTCTAACCCATTAATTTCGTATCAATTTCGAATCATGTCAAAAATTATCGCCCTTAATCTTGTCCCACAAACCACAACCATAACAGGCAGAGAATAAGATGTGTTTTGATCTTTGAGCTCTAAAGACAGACCCCAGTCAGTTTCCAATTTTAATTGGCATTGAAATAAAAGATCATACAATCAAATTCCTCTTACTTTTATGCTAAGTAATAATTTATTTCTAGTTTGACACCAATAGAAATTTGCTTGAGTGAGCTTAATGTTCCAATCTTGAAGTTTGACAACTGTTAACTGATACGTTTCATTGTGCTTATTAATTATTTCTTTTAATATTGTCAACATTCTAATTCTTGCAAAAGATTTAAGGGTTAATTATAATTTTCCCTTCAAACTATGTTTCTTGTTACAATTACTTCTCTATAGTTTTAAATGGTGCAATTTGTTTTCTCCAAGTTTCGAGCAGACTAAATTGATGACAACCACTTTGTACATAAAAGTAACATAATTGATGACAATAGTGGTTGAAACATAAAAGTAACATTACACCCTTTATTTTGTATATTATTTCTCATTTTTTTTTCTTGGAATATCAATTCTATCCCTAAAAAAATGAGGAAACGGAAAAGCCAAGAAAAATATATATATGTCCAGTCCAATACCAACACACTGCATAACACCATGTTCGCCTTCACCTCGCCTCAACCTCCACCCAACACTTAACACTCGTGCGTGCACATATACACTTTTTGCACGAGTAATAGTATATTTTCAATAAAATAGAGATCACATAAATTTCTCATGGTTAACTTATGTCATTTTTTATGGTCTAAAATTAATTGGTAGAGTTAATTACAAAGTATTCAAACTTAAAGGGGGATATTTATTAAAATTAAAACCTTAAGGAGTGAATGATAAACTACCTAAAGTCGAAGGGGTATTTTATAATTAACCCAAGATTTAACGTCAATTAGTAAATAATACTTGAGAGGGTTAGTAGCACTTTTAATCCCTAAAATATACATTTTTTTTTGTCATTTTAGTTTTTATTATATCAATTTTGTCAATTTAATCTCTAAAATATTCAATTCGTGCCACTTTGAAGTGACGGATGATAATACACGGTGTATAATTTACCATTGTAAGGAATTGAGGAAAAAATATAATGGGAAGGACCTGAACCTGGATCCCTACAAAAAGATTGTGAAATAATCCATTTATGTAGGGAGGCATACCCTTTACATCTGTATATCATACCACTTATGGCAATTCCAAATTACATTATCCCACACCAAGGTCATTGGAACCAAATAACAGCATGATGCAATAAAGAGAGGATATATTTGTAGAGTAAACTCTTGAATGCTTACTGTGTTGAGCAAGCGCAAGGCTGTAAGCTTGACCTAGACAAAATATACACCCCAAAACTATATCTCAAAAGTCCTTATAAAGGCTTAAAAGTGTAAGACCATTTATAAAGGGCAAAACATAAGGTAACTGAGAGAGGGGGGGAGATTGAGAGTGATATGACCTGATTGAGGGTTGTGTGCATTCAGACTTTAGAGTTCAAAGGAGAAGGTGCCTAAACAAAGCAAGCGATATCCTTGTTTGGGTAAGTCAATTACTAGACGGGATTTTGTTGTTTGGGGTGGGTTGTTGTTTTGGGGAGTGGGGGGTTCCCCCTTTATGGCAGATAATATGTGACATATTATAAGACCCATTTGTCCCTCTAAAAGAACATATAGATTAGGCTCTCATCCTTGCCTAGTCTCTCACCATTTGCTAGGATCTATCTCTCTGTTCATGGCGCTTGAGCCGCCGAATGAAGGGCATGAAAGTGCTACCTCTCCAACTAAGGTACTTTATGGAACACAAGCACCACTTGAAGTGACGGATGATAAAAACAAAACACCAAGACATCCTCGGTGGACCAGACAAGAAACAATGGTCCTCATACAAGGCAAGAAGATTGCAGAGAACAGGGGTCAAAAGGGTCGTAGATCCAGTTCGGTCCTTGGGGTAGACAAGTTTGAACCCAAGTGGGATACAGTCTCATCATATTGCAAACAGCATGGAGTAAACAGAGGACCAGTTCAGTGCCGGAAACGCTGGAGCAATCTGATTGGCGACTTCAAGAAAATAAAAACGTGGGAGTCACAAGTGAAAGAAGAAGCAGAATCATTCTGGGAGATGAGAAATGACTTGAAGAGGGAGAAGAAACTTCCAGGTTTCTTTGATAGGGAAGTTTACAATGTCTTAGATGGAAAGGCATATACTGCAGCAGCATTTCAATTGGCACTGGTAACGGTAAGTGCAGATAGAAACGACTGTGACGGGATGGAAGCGGTGATGGGAGAGGAAGATGAGGAGGAGGAGGCCGAGGAGGAGCCTGAGACAGTTTTTGATAGCGGTCGACATGCCACAGCCGAGGATGGTCTCTTCTCGGAGTTTGAGCCGTTGACACAGGAAGAGATTGGTAGGAGCCCAGAGAAGGAAAGGGTTACAACAAATAGTCCAACAAAGACAATCCCCGCTCCAGTGCCTATTTCAGGTAAGTTAGTAGTTATGCCAAAGTTTCTGCTTGCTACTAACAGTCCTCATCCTCTATTGCAGCAACTTAATCACAGTTGTGAATTAGGACATCTGCAAAGGACTACCACTTCAGTGTATGCTTTTATGGGTCTCCATTTTCCATCAATTTATGATGCTAACAATTTGCTTTGATAAGCAGAGAAGAAACATCACCCATATCAGCAGGCACACTCCAATCATGGTAACATCAATCCACATTTATTATCACCACTTTCTTGTTCCTCTGTTCTCCAAACTTGAGAATTCCAGGGACATCATAATATTTTCACAGTTTGAATGTCTAGAAGTCCAATCAATTTTCAACTTCTTAAGTCACTGAATCCTTGAGAATTTGACCACAGATCATGATTTACCTATTCATGAATCTCATCTCTGACTAGTCTTTCTTTGTTAGCCCGCTAGAAAAATACACACATACACAACTATCAGCTGAGAATAATGACCTATGTAGTAATTTGGGAAGGAGTTTTTTGTTGTTTTGAGTCTGTTGGAACTTGGAACTTTACATTCTTTTCATAGCCCAAGTACTTTTTCAACGTCCGAAATATTGGATTATCAATAAGGGCAATTGAACAGGTGAATAGAGTATAATTCCTCATAATGTCATTAGCTTTGCATTCTGGATCATGACAATGGTTCTTTAGGTCCCCTTTATTGGTATTCCACCTAGAAAGCAGCTTTACAGGTTATGATTGTCCATCCCATCTATTGACATGAATCCACATTTCCACTTAATGAGATCATAGAGCTGCGTTTAGCCATCTCACAAAAATTAAAGATGTCATTCTCCATCCTAACATCTTCCGGAGAGAAAACTTCCCTACAGGACTACATCACGAAAAAGCTATAGAAAAAACCAAGCTCTCCAATTACTAAAGAACATGTAATAAATGGGGAGAGGTCTCATGGGAAACCAGGTCCAAATGCATGATCGGTTTCCTTTATAACCAAATAAGATGAGGAACTATGTTTTCAAAGTGAAACTCCCAGTTGCAAACTAGATAATACCCATTCACTTTCCAGTAAAGTGATATAAAGAATGAATGAGAGGGAAATTTCCGTTTCTAAATTTAGCATTTCTGAAATGAACGAATATCATGATTCAGATAGTATTAATATAAACTGCAGATAGGTCTTGGTCTTATACTAATTTTTCTAATTACCATTCTTCTTGTATCCACTTTTACAAACATATGATGGAAAATCTCTCTCACAAACTTGCAAGGGATACAAGCAGTTTTCAGCAATCATGCTTTGTGTTGCTCTTATACCTTTCAGGTACAACATCTCAGGAAGGATGGAAGCGGAGGAGACGAACATCACCCAATGAATGTCAAGACAACAATCTGGAGAACCACTTGATCAAAGTTCTAGAGAATAATGGCAACATGCTGAGTGCACAACTCGAAGCTCAAAACATAAATTGTAAATTGGATAGGGACCAACTGAAGAAAAACAATGACAACTTACTTGCTGCTCTTACCAAGGTTACAGATGCTCTAGTTAGAATTGCCGAGAAGTTATAACTAAAGGACATGGAGATATTCAAGATCTTCAGGAAGCTCTTCAGTGATGTATGGCAGCTAGTTTTAGGAATTTGATAAGTAAAAGTTTCAAATGATACCAGTCATGGTTCTGATTTTCCTTTCATGGAAGCTATTAATGAGAGGTAGCAGTTTATGTAGTTTCTTCCTGTCCTTGTGCTCTTTTATCTTCACATTCTTCGTTTACTGTTATTCCCATTCTTTTTGCAGCTGACTATTTGACAGCAAACATAATCTTTTACCTTTTCGTTTTGTAATTTTTCTCCTAATATAAGACCCGGAAATCCCCAAAGTTCAGTATGGACAGAGTTGAATAGTAGATTTCATGGAGTGATGCTACATTTTAATTACTCAATCTCTGAGCTTTCCTGCTGATTTAAACTTATACCAATAGCCTTTGGTCTAATAGTACTCTTTGTCTTGTAAAGGCTTTGTCGTCTTGAGGTCAAGAGTTTAAGTCCCCCTCCCCCTTCCCCTTCCCCTTCCCCCCCAAAAAAAAAAACTTATTGTGATGAGACTTATTTCAATAATCTAGCAATAAAAGTTCTAATTTCAGTTGATTTTACTTTTTCACCCAACAGAACATGGTTCGGTGCTCCACTAAGTTCCAGACACGAGAATATTTGGATTGCATTTCAGAGGTTGAACTGCATATGCCGTTGTTTGAGAACGAAAAGAACAGACAAAAACGCTACCAAAATGATCTAGCAGTTCAGTGATAGATTTTTTTTGCCTCCACTTTACCCAAATAAAACGTCTAGTTTCACAGATAATCATATAATCGAATTTATGTAGTATTAGTGACTACATACAGAAAATAATAACATACAAGGAAAATCTAATGCTTTACAAAACATTTGAGGAATTTCCTAATTTTCAGCCACTTTGGAAAGGAAATTAATGTAAAAATCAAAGCTGACCTCTCTTCCCTGCTAAGAAGGAACAGCCTCAATGAGCTTTGCAAAGTAAAATTGTGTGGTAATTAAACCTCTTTTCCTTATCCTCCACCCAACCTTTTGCAATGCCCTCTCTACATCAGCTTCTGCATGGAGATACGCCCTTGTTGCCTTTGAAGGACCAGGGAACAACTCTCCAACCCTCTTCAACAAATCATAATAGAATGTCTTTGGGGCAAAACTTAGAATTAATCGATTCTCAGCCAAAGAAGCAAGATGGGCGATCATTGCGTCTGCCTTACTTTGTGGATAATGTATCAAAACATCTAAGCAAACCACTGTGTCATACTTCCCATCTAAGCTCTCTAAATCCTTCACAACAAATTTTGGCATTACCGGGGCTGGTGAGAGCTCATCCTTACCAGTTGAAAGCTCTTCTCTTGCCTGCATGAAATCCAAAAGAAAATTACTATCACAAAGGAGTCGGATCAATATTTTAAATAATACAAAAATTAGCTACTGCATTCAAATAATTCATCAAAATTCCAGGAAATTTCCAATTAGAAGAATTCTATATCAAAATTCCACACGAATGGATAATTAAAGGTGTACGAGCAATCAGAATCTTGAAATTCCAAATAATATTTCATTCCATTAAGATGGCGGCAAGCAATAAGGACATGGCTTATTAGTTATTACTCAATCTCCAAAACGGAGCACAACCAAATGCTTATATGATGTTGCTCATCAGAAAAATGGAAAATATGACCGGATGATGGTCGTTCATTCAAAATTCCTACAAGTAGCAGTATTCAGATATAAACAGAGACACAAAATCTCTTCCTTTCAACTGTTCATTCTTCTTTTTCCATTTTCGTAATAAGCTTCTTTGCAACAGTATTTACAATACAATAGATGGATCTCATCTCCTACCAAAGCTCACTTCAAATGGTCACCCTGCAAACCAATGCCTGCCTGCCATCTTCTCACCATCCCAATTGCCAACAATTAACTCTCTCTTTCTCTCTCTCCAACAAAAAACATGTATATATAGTGTTTGTGTATAGTGAAAGGTGGACATCAATAAAACAAAAAACACATTCCTCTACAATGCAGCACCAAAATCGAAACTTGTGGACATGTTCAAAACAATTAGGTTAATAACAGTAACTGTTAGGTAGCAATATACCCACCTGTTTCTCGGCTTCAGCAACCATTGCAGCTGAGATATCACTAGCAAACACAAATGCACCTTCCTTCGACAACGGAATCGAAAGACTCCCAGTACCACAACCCGCATCACAGACAGTAACACCTTGAAGAGACCCTTCATCAGTCAACATCTTCATCGTATTCTCAACTGTTTTCGCGTGTCCAATTCGTATATCCAATTGAACTTTATTCACCTCATCAGTGTCCCCATATATCTTCTTCCACCTCTGGAACCCATTTCCATTGAAGTACTCCCTCACCACCTCCTTATCTCCGCCGCCGACCTCCTCCGCTTGCAGCTTCCGCCTCTTCTCGGGGTCGGCTACTGATAGAACGGCGGCGAGAGCGGCTAATGAGCTGCCGCCGATAACGGCAATGGTTGCGCCATCGAATTGCGCGGTTATTGTGGAGACGTCGGCGGCGGTGGAGAGTGGTGGAATGGCGGCGACTGTTACGATTTTACGGTTTGGTTTGTTGGGTTTTGGAGAGTTTATAGGGTTAGTGTGGAAGCTGATGTGAGAGAATAGGGCCGACGAGCACGCCATTTTAGTCGCTCTTTCCCTCTCCGGCCGGCGAGAGAATGAGCCAGTTTTTATCCTGGTGGACTGGATAATGTAATCTAGGATAAGGATAGAATTAGTCACTGGTCGTTCTTGTGGGTCCCAGATTTTGTGAAGGGCTGTTCGGTAGCTGAGTTGTAGTTGTAATTCCTTATTAATTTGTATCTAACGAGAACCATAATTTTAGTCATAATCAATTCATTTAATACTCGTGTCGAATTGAATCTACTCATTTATAAAATAAGTGATTTTAAAAAATACAAACTCTCTAATCGTTTATCATCTTCGTGCTAATGCATGATATTTTGATACCATATTTGATGGTGTGGTCAAACAGATGAGTAGAACTTGTGAATCATACGAACAAGTGTGATCCTGAGCTATAAGGCTCGTGCTAACAACGACAAGATTTTTTGAGGAATATTGGAAGCAAAATACAGTACAACTACAGTGGTTCACTGGCTTGAGAGCCCGGCTAATCCACTCTTCAAGAGAGTCTTTTGCTCCATTTCTCTTTATTCACGATGGATATGATTTACAAAGTATTATCTGTGGTATTAGGTTTTCCCTTGCCTCTCAAGGAGGCATTGTACAGTATTTATAGCACAATTTGTATCTCTAAGGGATCTGCAGCGAGATCCTTGCTCTTCATTCGCGGGATTTTCCTTGATTTTAGGAGAGAATCTCGGGTGGTTAAGAGTTTCACGCCTTAATCACTGCCCTTTAGCTGTTCTATGGACTCTTCTTACTGAACAACTGTTCTTTCCTTGGCTCCTCTGATTTCTCATCAGAGAGGAGCTTGGGAATTAGACTTTAGATTTTTGAGCTCCTCGTCTAACCTACTTGTCTGATCTCGCTTCCCGAGCTCATATTTGGTTAAAATTCTTATTCACGCATCATCAGTTACCTCTCAGCCCTTGGTCCAAGTTGGCTTGGACAGGGGTTGAGCTGCACTAAAGTAATTCCGTATCACACGTCAACCTCGATTTACGCATTTAAAGGGTTCCTTTTGACGGTTCTTAGCAATCATGTTCTCCTTGATTCTCGTGCACATTCTCCACTTTGTACCATTAGCTTTAAATGCCACTAGGTTGAGAGGGAACAGTCCTTACTTTGCTCTTTGAATTCTCTCCCTAGGCTCTTCTTCTTCCTTGCACTCCCTATTTCCCCAATCTGCTGAAGATTTTAGGGTTTTGATGAATCTCATCCTTTCTCCAATTGGCTTGTGAGGCTCGCTCTTTGTTTTTCAGTGAGGGAACTTTGGTCTGCTATCCACCCTTGATTAGGTACACTTCATATCCCTAATGTGTTTCTTCATTCTAGATCCCTCAAATTTGAGGTGTTTATTGCATTTCTGGACCTTTCGATTCTGCTACTTTAAGAATCGAGACTTTTCTTTGTTTCATCTTCCCCTCTTCTTAGATCCTTACTTTACCGCTAGGATTTTCATCATTGGTCATTGATGTTTTGCCCCCTGACCCTCAAGGAGTGTTTTTCAGAGGTTCCTCCTCTTTAAAAATCTTTTAAACTTCATTTTTCCTGCCCAGTTATGTCTGCCTCTTTCGGAGCTACCCCCTCCTCTGTTTCCCTTATAGGGAATAGACCCGCTGAGGAGGATTCCGATTTAGGTGATGTGGGTGAAGAGATTGACAAATTCCCCAGTGTTGATTCTATCGATGCCGAGAGAAAAACTAAGGAAATTCTTCTACCAGCCTCCCTTGTGCCCAAAAACCCTAACAAAGGTAAGGCCAAGGTGAGTGGCGTTGGAATATCAGGCAGCGCTGAGGGTGCAGGGGCTACTTTTAGAACTGTAGAACTCGTAGGCTCTAGTGAGGTCTCTTCTTCCATCATGAAAGTTCTTAGTGCTCGTTTTGGCTTTCCTCCTGGTGTCCAATATTAATGCCCAGATAAATTCACCTCATACGTCTCTCAGGTTCACAAGAAGGTCTATTTTTTGTGGCCGCCTTTGAGAACAGTCTTCGCTTTCCCATGCACTCATTTATCAAAAGTGTTTTGCAGCACTTTAACGTCTGCCCTACTCAGCTTTCCCCCAACTTCTGGGGTGTTCTGGTGGATTTTCTTGTTTTCTTTAGGAAACATAAACTTGGGGTTCCTACTGTCTCTTTGCTTATGAAGTATTTTAATGTTAAGTACACCCCTTCTGATGGTTTCTTGTATATTTCCAAACGGGTTAAAGTCAAAATGATCATCTCTGACCTCCCAAGCTCCCACAAGGACTGAAAAAAAATTTCTTCTTTGTGGGGGGCAATCAATGGGAATACAATGCTGCAAACATCTCAGATTCTCTTCCTATCCCTCGGGCCTAGAAAGCCCCTGATAACTTGGGTAAGCCTTTGTCTAAGTGAGCTAAGATTAGCTTTGATGGCTTTCTGTGTTGACCTCTTTTTGTTTATCTTATTCTGTTTCTCAGGTATTCGACATGAACTCAATGCTACAGATAGGCAGGCTTTGCTGTCCCTAGAGGGTTGTATTTCAGAGAGGTACTCCGAGCTCATCAAACCTTAGGTTCTTGTAACGCAAGGGTTCAGTCTCTCAGAGGTAACGATAGAAGCCCCGATTCTCCTCTCTGTTGTTAGCGCGGAGGAGGTAGTTGGTAATACCCTGACCTATCCATCTTTGGCTTCTCCCCTTTCTTTTTGTACCTTGTTTATATATTTTTACCTGTTTTGGGCTCTTAGGTTCTTCTACAATGAAGCCTTCCATAGCAGAGCTCCAAGTTAAGCTTTCTTAGTTAAAGAAGACCAGGAGTGGTGGCAAACAAAAGGCTGAGGTTGGCTCTGGCAGCGAAGATGTTCCTCCAGCCAAGATACCGAAGACGAGTATGCCCTCTAGCTCTTCTGTTTCAACTCAAACCTCAATCAATCAACCTTCGTCCATTCCGCAAGTCGTAGAAGGTGATCCTCTTGTTCCCAACGAGGTCCTTGAGCAAGGAAAGACCTCCCCCTCTTCTTCTGAGGCTGATAAGGCCTTGGGGATGATTATCCGTGTACTGCCCACCTCCAGCTCTCTAGCGTCAACCGAGAAGCTTCCCTTATCACACCATACGAGCTCTAGAATTGAAAAAGGAAAACTCCCCAAAGTGGAAAGTGACCAGGGCTCCTCTTTTAACAATATCAAGCTCACTTCTGGGGCTCTAGCCTTAAGTTCGCTTTCATCTGGGGTTGAAGTTCCTTTTTCTGGGACCCCTGAAACTTCTCCTCCCTTGCCTGTTTCAAGGCTTATGGGGGCTTCAACTGTTGATCCACCAGGAACATCAATTGCAGCCCTACCAGAGGCTTCATCTTCTGATCTACCAGACCTATCTGCTGCTGAATTGCTAGGCTCTCCTCCTCCTACTCCTACTACAGAGACTTAGGACTCTCCTTTTTCTCCCTTTTCTCTTTTTTTTTTTTTAAACTTTTGCTGGGAAGTGTACCTACTTGTCTTTTATTACACTTCTGTTCTGTCTTCCTAAGTTACTGAAGTAACTGCTGAATACACCTTGTTTCTATGACTGCTTAATATAATCTGATCTACTCTCTGAATCACTGTTATTGCTGTGTATCTAAATCGTTTTATACTCCCCTTTATTATTCTATACTCTCCTTTATTATTCTATACTCCCCTTGCCCTTAGCTTTGAGGAGTGCACAGCTCTCCTTAAAGCAAAATTGTTAAGTTTGGAGAAAATGCGAGGTGTTGAGATCTCACGCAAGGAAGGCTTGGTTCTTCTTGAAGCAGATTTGGCAAAAGCTTCTAAAGAGTTGTGCAGCTAATGAGTTATTGGGTCACTGAGGTCTGACCCTAGGACAGTTCTATTCTGGCGTCTGGGGCCCTTAGGGGGGCATTGAGTGTTTGCTAGATTTTGCAAAGAGATTAAATATCTTGATGCTGAGGTCCATTGCAAGTGCATCTATAAAGGCCACGCTACTGCATCCGTGAGAACTTTAATGGAAGACGAGCTTAGGAAATACTAGCCCCACTTTAGCCAGCACATCAAGAAGGGTTTTGAAGCAACTGGCCTTCTAGAGATGTTCCAGAAGGTCTATGCAGCCATACGAGCTGGCCTCAGCCCATAGAAATTTGAGGAGATCTTCCCCCAAAATAACCTTGGCTTTCTGAGCCAATTGAATCGAATTGGCAGAGCTCAATTAAGGTCTTGAAGTTAGCCTCTCAAGTTACGCCGTAGCTTATTGTATTGGACTTCTCTTGGATCGTCAAGTGCTGCAGATGCTTGAGATGGATGAGTATCTGGAAAATGTTGAGGCTACTAGGGAGGTTTTTCCTGTTGAACCGACTAAAAGCTGGAGGCCTATCCGAGCTCTCTTGGGTATTGGCTTTGTACGAATAACTACTGACAGTCGTGTTTTTGGTATCTTTGCACAACCTGGGTTTTTCAGACTAACGATATAGCAATGGTACAGTTGGATTTCTTGTCTCTTTATCGTGCTTTCCCAACTACTTTTTAAAAGTATAACAACCTTCTTAAATTGGACAACCCAAAGATTCGTCGTCTTTGGTTCTCATGCATTCCTTGATTCCCTAAAAACTCGGTGCCCTTAAGGGATTTTTATGATTTCTTGGACTTTCTTTACTCTTGGAGTCTTTTGTTGAATCCTGAAGGTTTAACGTTCTTTGTTTCTTTTTCTCTGAGGGTTTTTGTGGCTGCCCCTGTTTCGCCCTTGTTCAAGGAACGAAGCTCCTTTGGGATTGAGTGGAAATGACATTCTCGCTACTTAGTTCCTTCAACAATATAGTCTTCGGATTTGGATGGGGTAAAGAAGAGGTTCTTCCCCAATTTGGAATTGCCTCTACGGGCCCCATCCTCTGATGAGCCCTGTAATTATCTTCCTCCAAGGGAGACTTGCTTTTTCGAAAGAACTTTAGAGATGGGTCTGTGTCTTCCTATTCACCCCTCTGTTAGGTTTATCTTGGTTCATTGTAGCTTGTGTCCTTCTCGCCTCTCTCCCAAGAGATGGGCTACTATGATTAGCTTTTTCCTCTTCTAGCACTTGCGGGGTAATGACGAGTTTTCCATAGTAACTGAGTTCCTTTACTTTTTTGATCTTGAAGAGGATGAGGTCCCATGATTCAGTTGT